TAAATTAACTTTTTAGACCCTGGGGGTGGAATCTGACCTTGTGGACTTTTTAAATTTAATTATTCTTCACAATGCTTTGCAATTGAGACTACTTTGGAGGAATTTGGTATGACCTGTCATTGTTTACAAAGCTTGTCGTTTCCATGACCACATTTTAAAAGGTTTTCCCGATCTTTTACGTTGAATTTACTTTTAAGAACATTTAATGTCCTTTGCGACTGCTATTTTTTGCCGGCTCCAAACGTCCAAAAAACCCGTTTTGAAGCAGAAGGATAAGAAAAATGAAACGAATAGCCCTTTTCACGGTTACCTTTGCTCATTTGCATTACAATAGAATCTAGCATGTGAGGCAATTTCGGGCTATTTTGTAGTTTTAGCCCGAAACTGCCACCATCCACTTTGAATTACATTGTAATGCAAATGAGAAAAATTAACCGTGGAAAGGGCTATTAAGAGGTAATTGACACAATCATTCAGTGAAACGTTCAGGACTTTTTGGATTTGAATATTTTAAACGCTTACATGGCGTTTTATTTCTTCATTCAAAACGCCGTGGATTATGTACATTGAAAGAACATTCGAAGCCTCTGGCTGCCATAAGAGAGAGGAAAGAAACGACTGCGAATTAATGTCTAACCCGAGGAAAGATTGTGACAAAATTAAAAACGATTAAAGTTTAAGCTAATATCACGTTAGTAGCAGAGTTAACTCTCGTTATTACGAATGAAAATCAAAGTTAAGGAAGACGTCTTCTAATAAAATTTAGCACAGTTCCAATTGAAATACAGCAATGTTTTTGAGGCTGGCAGTAACGAATTCAATGTAGCATAGCATGAATTTATTGGTTTTGTAACACTGATCTGTTCATTTTATGTTTTTCAGGCAGTAACTTTGAGGTGCTTAATGATTTGAAATAAAGGATTTCTATTTTCTGACCAATGTTAAGGAATAAAATCAATTCAAAGCCTTGAACTTACGAATCAAGTCGCTGGAAAGACGAAAACAAACAAACAAACAAACAAACAAACAAAACAAAAAAAAAACATACAAAGCATCATCACAGAGAGACTCTATCACTTCTTCATGGTTAAAAAATAAATTAGGCAAGTTTTATTTCATTTCCATTAAGCGGAAAGGGGGAAGAGACGCGGGGAAGAGGATATTAGAAATCACGGTAGTCTTTTTCCATATTAACATAAAGGCAATCGATTTAAGGTTGCTGCAAACGTTGCTCCAATACATACGGATTAAAATTCATTGTGTAACAATGTGTAAGTTCGGTACTTTATTCTGTTTTCATATGTAGTAATTTACTGCGATCATAAGCTATGGCACAAGACTGCACTATTTGCAATTGTACAGCGATTCAGTTGAATGTCTGTTAAGTCAGGTTAAGGTATCTCAGCATGGAAGTTGTATATACTAAATGAACTTGCAACGACGTCTTTCAGCAAACTTTGTAACTTTTTCCCTCCTGAAACATATAAAAAAGGACAGTTTGTGACATTCAGGAAGTGTCTATACGGAAACAAGATGTCCCTGTTAAAAAAAACCTCTACCCTTAAAAATCTCTCATCTTTTAATTATATGAAGACACCACGGTATTAGCTGACCCTCTGTTTTGGCTAATGCAGGCTCTAATTAAACGTTTCGACTTGTCACTGGTAGGCGAATCAAACATACCCAACGTTTTAACAAGCAAAAAAGTGTCTCCCCATTACTGGTAAACAGACCCTCAAAGTAAGTACCTTACACTCAGGATCAAGCTACTCCCGAGACAAATCACGATTGTTGTCTCGTTCAGGTGCCTCAGTATGCCGGGTGACCCTACCAACGAAGTCATTACATCGAACGAAACGCATACAAACAAAAAACATGTATTTATTACCTAGAGAATTTCGTAAATGTAATAAGTATGAGCCTTCCCTACGGTTCGCGCGTAACACTTGCCAAGACTGGTCTTGAATTCTGCACTGGGCGTTTTTCCCACCCAGCATTCACCGTAGAATTTCACTCCAAAGATCTTGTACTTTGTGTCTTTCACTATTTGATAACAGGCTTCCACTACTAATTCTATCTTGTTCCATGTTATGCCGCCGGAACGAAAGCTATGCTCCATTACTGGCAAAAGATGTTTATGTGGATTTTCTCTGTAACAGCCCAGTGGTCGGTATTTCTCTACTGCAGACATAATAGAAATAAAAAAGAATAAGCATGCTTTAAAGTTCATGGCCTTAATGGTCTATTTCGTCGTACAGGTATCGCGGGAAAAATTTAACTTCATTACCAACAGGCAAATATAATTCGATGGATCAAAATCCCAAGTTTGCTCTGAGGCTTAGAGGAATTAGATGAGTCAAATTGTTTATCCATGATACATGTACATGTATCTTAAAAATTGGTGTGTTCTCCTCTTATGTTATTGTCTAACCTTCGGCAACGATTAATAATTTAAATATAACGACAGAGGATTAAAAATTAAGAATTGTTCACTGAATAACAGTGTTAAGCGTATAAGTAATAATTTCGTGTGCTACTGATTGTACTCACCAATGCAGGGAATGTCGTCATTGCATGCCTCAGTTACAGGCGGCTTGACTGCGTTTTGACAAAAGATTTTTGGCACCGGGCTGTATTGGCCGTCGTTATTCAGCTTTTTACAGGACAGAATACGAGTGATAATACCACCACCACAGGTCTTAGAACACTGTCAACAAAAAATGAGCAATAAAACACCAGTTGAATTCTCTTCCAAGCAGAAGCATTCCGTAAGGCCTGTACAAGTTAGGTAGACTGTTCGAACGGTGCAGGAGGCTTTAATCCTGAGATGCGGAGGGGAGGAGGAGAAAATCAGTCGGCTTTAAATCATAAAGATTTCTATAATGCAGTTCAGTCTATGTAAGCCTTCCCTGATCCTTATGAAAGCTTGTAAGAATAGCAGTTTAACTTGTGCACGACGTTTCGACCGTTCAACGGTCATTTTCAATTTCGGTAGAAGAATAAAATTACAGCATAAATAAACGGTTACAACGCTAAAATATGGAACAATAGGCGATAAAAGTAACAAAAAAGCTTAATGCGAATGGTATGCAAAAAAATATAAAATTATAATTATAAACTAAAAAAATGTGAAGAGAATTAAAAAGCGTTGAAACCAAAAACCTAAACAAGTACTTTCGCACGGAGGGATTCACATTGCTTGTTGAGTTTCGGCTTTAAAATTCTAATAAGAAGCATTTCAATAATCAGACAGTCAAGCTTGCTTTGGCACTTCTTGAGAATTCTAAAGTTCTTTGTTCTTTGAACTGACGTTTCCAAAACTTGCCGTTTTGCCTTTGAGTTTTCGAAGTCAAGTTCATGATATTGAACTTATGGAGCAAGATTATTTCAAGCGGTGACACCATTACCATGCAGCGCTCTTGCATCTGAGGTTTTTGAAAACAGACAGAAGAAGACGCTCCGGTTTCATAAGTTTCACATGTGTGATTTGATGAATATTTGTTCTTAAGCTGCGGATGTCATCGTTCTCTTTAAATATTATTTTACTTTGCGTCTTTTAACATGTACACTGTCACTCAAGAATAGCGAATCTTTGTAATTATTTCTTTGGTAACACGTGGGTAAAATATCATCATTTCATTGTTTTTCCCCCTCGTGGATTTTGTTTACCCTGATACATACATATACAGGACTTAATTCAGGGGTTAAAACTAAAATAAAATCCAAAGAAACACCCTGAAAGGGAGTTTATAAAGAAGTGGACCCTATGTAAAAAATAAGATATGCATTAAAAAGCTAATGCTAAAGTTCCATTACAAATACAAATAAGTGCTAAAAATATTAATTTCAAATTTTGATCACGAAATACGTAAAAACGATTTCAGACCTTTCCTGAACAGATTACCGGCCTTTGCAATATTTGAATTCGATGACCTATTGTTGTTCGAACAGTGTGAATCTTGAAGCAATATAACTTGTTATATATGTTTTCATATATGAATAATCATAGGTATAACACCACTTAAAGCAGTTGATGTAAAATGTTACGCCAAATTCTTCTTTACCTTTCCCCAGGGAGAAGGAACCCATTCAGCGGGGCAGGCTACTTTATAGCAAGCTCTCTGGAGCACCTTTGGCTTTGGTCCCTTGCAGCTGATATCCTTCACGGTTTTATATTCTTCTGGGTTTTGACTGACTTTCGTTCTGCAGGACAGTTTGCGCGTCATTACACCACGTCCGCATGTCTTTGAACAAGAGCTCCATCCAGACAGGTGCCATCTGACACAGAGACAAGTTTAATCAGCGAGACAAAGTAAGCTCACAGTGCGCATTGGCAACGAGCACGAGTCACTCTTAAACAGTACAGCAACATAACGTAAAGAAAAAGAACATAAACGCTTCTAGGCATATCAAGGTAGTCTTATGCTAAAGTTATAAAAAGATATTAACAGCCCAGCGTTATATATTTCCCGTGAAACGTGATGTGAACATACTCTGCTGTACAGGGATGGATATTACAAGGCATCTCATATTGAGGTTTCTTGGATCCTTTTTCACAAATCCTGTCTGCAACTATTGATTGATCATCCTTTCGTTTACACTTTATCAGTCGCGTTTTCTTTCCTAAAGAAACAGACATGCAAATAAAGGAACACACATTGTTAACCAGTTCACAGGATTTCTTTTCCTATCAGGATAGTCCGTAAATTCTCCACAACATAGGTAACTGAGGGGTGCACGAGTCGTGTGCGCAATGCAAGCTACCGCGTCACGAAAAGATTTGTCAGGGCTCGAGGGGGAAGGGGGGAGGGGAACGGCGGCAGAAAGGTACTAACGGCAGTTGAGCACTAACGAGGTGATGACTAAGAGCTAACATAGGTTGCTTAAAGTAGTGTTTCCACTTGCAATTTGATGCATTTCCAAGCTATTACGTCAGCCCATGCGATTTCAATCCTTGTGAATTCATCGAAAACGGAAAATTGTGGGAATTCTCCTTTGAAAAGCTGGAAAAAGCGAGCCGAAGAAAGAATGAATAAGGGCAAAGTGCGTACATGTATGTATTGTTTACGTTTTGGTTCAAGTTGGAAAATCGAAAAAAATTATTTAACCTTAAGTGCGAGCAATGCAACAAAACAACTAGCAAATAGTTTTGCAATAAATGTGTGTCTTGAACATTGTGTTATGAAATAGAGTTGCCAAAAACATACGTAGCTTTTACCTCCAGCGCAATCCTCAGAGCACGCTGACCATCCTGTCTTCTCATCAATGATCCACTCAACTTCGCTTGAACTAATCACTGATTTTTGTGGTTTCAGGTATTTACAAACGACTCCTTGGTTTGCACCTCCGTTATAAATGAACTATAAAAAGTGAAAGTGAGATATTAATAAAGGTACTAATCAAAAGAATTGGAAAAGCGATACTTATATGTATGAGTGCATTATACATGTTCACCACTAATGCACTCAGAATGTTAACATTCTGATGTAGCGCGCTCGGTGGCCGGACCTCTTTGGCTTACGTTGTTTAAAAAAAAAAAAA